CTTGGTGGAGGAGTTCTCCACAACAGACTCTGGCTGGTGTTCGTACCACTTCTCTGGGACTTCCAGGTCAGCTTGCTTGGAGACACACCAGTGCACATATTTGCACACTTGGTCATGCCTGTACAAGTACTCCCTTGGGGCTAGTTCGGGGCAGCCACTGAGGAGGTGGTGAACCGTTTTGGGTGGTCCATGACAGCATCTGCAGCGGTCTTCCACATCCAGCTTGAGGATGTGCTTCTCGTAGTTATGAGTTCTAATGCACTGGTCCTGAATGGCTAGGATGTTGCTCTCTGTCTCTGCATTCAACAGTCCCTTCTTCAGTCAGTTATAGCTGACGTCCAAGTCGATCGATGGTTTATCCATGATCTTGGGATGATACATTCAGTTGACTGTGTCCTACACTGACAGACTGGAGCAATGCTATATATATATATATATATAGCATGTTTATGCATATTTTAGTCATGAATTTGGAAGCTTTCTTCACACAATTCAATACATGGAGGTTTTTAAACTTCACTGCATCCCAATTAACCTTTTAGTGCATGATATAGGAGAGCCTTGAAGAAAAAATTTAAAAATCATGTACATTTTCTTAAAGGTACAAAAATAAGACTTTTACAACAGCCAAATTTGATCATGTCAATGCAATTTTGGGTTTTTGTCAAAATATAAGAAATTTACAAAAAGAAGTAAGCTGCAACTGGTAGAATTTACAAAAGGTCAGACAAAGATATGAGATAAGGATGCGAGACAGCATGTGCATGATGAAGGTTTTTCACTCATGGAATATAATAATAACAAAAAGTTGTAAGTTTGTAATGAAGTTAGGCATAAGGTCTTTTATTCAGCTATAGTACTGACCCTGTAGTTTCAATGTGTTCCTGTTTAGTAACAAACATATGTTTAAAAAGTATTTATGTTCTTCCCAATTGAGAACATTCAGAATATTTCAGAAATTCCCCACGTAGTGAGTCTTAATCCACATTATATAGCCAAAATTGCTCAGGTATGTTCCATATTGGGATCAGAATGCAGTGATGGGTTAAGAACATGAATGTGGTGGCATTGTAGTTGGTGTAGGAGCCTGGGAATTTGCTAAATTGGTAAACGACCCTGAAGCCTTTATCTATAGATTCAAATGGCAGCATATCACAGGGATGTTGACTCTGCCTTTTGAAAGGTGGAAGTGCTCCACAAATCCAAGATGTACCTCAGTCTAGGGCTTTGCTGTATGAAAATTGCTCATTTGCCATGAGTATAGGTGCCTGTTTCAGTTACAAATGAGCTCCTTTTTCATAAGATTGTGTTGATCAGGGGTACCCAAAGGGATTCTCACTGAATATGGCCCAAGAGCCACACTTTTGGACAACCCTCCTCTGAGCCAGTGTTTGACTGAGGGATTTCAATTTGAGTCAATGTGAAGTGGAACTGGTTTTTCTCGCTTTCCCCTGCAACAACTATGACCAATAAGTAAATCCCAGATTGAGCTATATTGTTGCATGGGAAAGTGACAAGGCTTTGCCAACTGACTTTTGATAGTCAGTTACAGATCATTTGAGCTTGTGCATATCTTTGTTGTCACCTAGGGTATATCTGTGTTTGTCCATCTCCAGGCTACTGGGATGAAATGGAGGAAGAGCAAGATGATGAGAAACCAGATTCACCTGTCAACGTTGAGGATTGCCCTGATGGAGGTGGAGGACTACTTCAGCAGGTGGCTGCCATTGCGTTGGAGGAGCCAGTAAGTACCCCCTCTGGTTCTATTTCCTAAAATTTATGGGATTGGGGACCTGCATTTTCTTGATAACAATGATCAAGGGTTTAAGAGGATCCTTGTGATAATCCCAGTGTGTCACTCAAATCATTTCATTTCTCAACATAACTTAAATTCGAGGTAATCAGTTTTTGCCAGATTAGTGCCATCTTTAAACATACTGTGCTCGTGAAACTTTCATGGGGTGTTTCAGACCCATATCACATGTTGTGCTGAACAAATGAAAATAAGGACTAAGATTGTAGCTTGTGACAATGTGATGATTTTGAAGGCTTCATGACACCTGTGACTTCTTTGGTTCAAAACCTTTCACACACTTTTGTGAGTAGGGCACATACCAGATGGTTCCATGCTGGACAAATTGCATCACATTGATGTTTGCATTGAGAAGTGATCTACATATGGATCCTGCATCGTGCAGTGGTGGCCAATTTCTATTTTTGGCAGTTTACTTTAAAAAGATATTCCTCATATTTAGCCCTGTCTATGTCTATCAATGGTTAGCTTATTACCTATTAGTGCTGTTAAAAATGTTCAATGACACATCTCATGTAAGGGAGAACATAAAAGGAGGTGTGATTATTTCTCATCCTTTTCTGTTATTTTCTTCTGCCAGTTCCTAGAATAGGGCTGAAATTTAATCAGTTGATATTTTTCAGTGTCACACGGTCACTCAAATTTTTATTTTCTGTAAGTTTTGCCTGTCGTTGGCAGCTTGAAAACCTTTCAATGGCACTGATAGTGCAATACCAGCTGTTGATCAAAAAAAGGGAGGGAATGTTGACTTAAGGAACTAGGATATGCTTGGAAAAAAAATACAAAAATATTTAGCTTTAAATGAAGTAGGCCTATCCCAAATTAGGGAACGTTCAACCTCAACACGTGGTATCCAAATGGGTGTAAAAAGCTCTTGATACCACTAAACCGCCTTGAACGTTAGTGAGTCCTGTAGAGAAGAGAGGGGGGGGGAGGTTGAAGAAAGGGAAAGCCATTTAAAATTGATTTTCACATTATTTCATGTACCTTTTGTCCAGGTCCCCCTTGGTCCAGCTCAGACAACTGCTCCTTCCCAGGCACTAGCAAACCCATAGTTGGAGCTATGATCCTCAAGACATTGAGAACAAGATTAATATTGGCATGTGAACAATATAGGTTGATTGTGCTTCCATTCTTCTCATAACTTTTTTGTGGAAATTTTGTGTTTCATTTGCATTTGCATTGTGTAAAGCCAATGGTGTAATTATTTTGTATGTCTCCACAACATTGTGGGAATCTCCTCCCCCATCTTGGTCTTTGCTGTCAATTGTTGGAAAAGAAACAGCTTGAATACAATTTCATAATTTTTCTACTATTGAGTCATTTCATGGAAAATTGCACAAAAATGTTGCAAATTAACACCCCCGACCACCTCCAATTTTGATTAAATGTAGCATACAGGCTAATTATGCCATGAAACCTGGAAATACCACATTTCAACCCAATCGAGCCAGTAGGTCAAATGCTATAGGGGTGGTCAAAATTTAAGGTCACCTAACCTCAGATTTTGATATCAATGTAACTCAAAAGTTACTTATGCTAGAGCCTTGATTATGGTGTCAATTCACTCACACTTAGAGAAGAATTCAAAACTAGCATGGCAATATCATACTTATGTATTATACATTATGTATTATTATACATGTATTTTCTTGGCCGCTTTTCCCAATTTAATTGGGTCGCGGTTCGAGCATCCTCAGGAACGTCCCCCAGTGATTTCAATCCTGGGCAACGGATTCAAGCTCAGCTGGTGGGATGCCGAGCCTTTCGTGACAAAGCCGAGCGACGTAATCACTCCACCTTGTACGTGGTATACCGACAGGTCTTTTGCCAGTCATCTTGGCCTGGAAGACTCCTCTTGGGAGCCTCTCAGGGGGCATGCGGCAGACGTGTCCAAACCACCTGGCCTGAGACCTCTCGATCCGGAGAAGCAGCTGCTCGACCTGGAGACTCTCGCGGATGGCTGAGTTCCGCATCCGATCACGGCGCGTTACGCCAGCCACTCGACGCAAGAATCTCATTTCGGCAGCTTGTATCCACGATCTGGTGCTTTCGGTCATTACCCAAAGTTCATAACCATAGGTGAGGATGGGGAGATAAACACTCTTAAAAACCGAGAGTTTTGCTTCCCGAGAAACTTCAGATCTGGCAACCACGGTTCGCCAAAGTTCCCGCAGAACTGCAGAAGCCTTGGAGATGCGGTAGTCGATCTCGTGTCCGTGTCGCCCATCACTCGAGAACCAGACCCCGAGGTACTTGAACTTCTCCACCAGCACTCTCCACAGTTTTCTTCTGGGTACACGGTCGTAAGCTTTTTCAAGGTCCACAAAGCACATGTAGACATCTATGGCATACTCCCAATGTCTCTCGAGGATCTGGTGGAGAATGAACAGCTGGTCCGTGGTGCTGCGCCCTTCACGAAAGTCGCACTGCTCCTCTTGGATGGCATCATCCACGACTGCCCGAGCTCTCTTTTCCAGCACCTTGGAATAGACTACCAGGTATGCTGCGGAGAGTGATCCCACGATAGTTCGTGCACTCCCTCGAGTCCTCCTTTTTAAAAAGAGGAACCACCTTTGCCAATCCGTAGGTGCCGTTACATTACAACACATATTACAACACCATTTTTTAATCAACACCAAGGTTATTATACGTCAATTGAAAGCTTAACTCATGAGGTTTTTAGCCGTTGTCGCAGAATGAAAATCGGCGTTCCAGCTCAAGTGGTCAAATTTTCGTCACATTCGTTGGGCTTCAGACTCCGATTTGCTTGAAAAAATTATTGCATGCTGGCAATCAAGACCTATGAAAAAATCCAAAGTTTTGGCTCTCTGGTTC